CACCCCCACAAGAAGCAAATGCAAAACCAGTCTGGGCAATTCTTCCACACACAGGTTAATATAAAACTTCTGCCAAAACAGGATTCTCCACATAAGATAAAACAGTCCACTGTGAGACACAATTAAAAGAGACCATTAACAATTTGAGATAATAGGAAAATATGAAGGAGTATAAAATATGTGTATTTAAACAGAGAAATCATTAAGTAATACATGTAAAAAAGAGCACTGTGAAAAAAAAGATGGACAGAATTGAAAAAATACAAGGAAATATCTAGAAATGAAAACTATAGTCATTGAAATTAAAAGATAAGCAAACAGAGGAAGGGATAGACACAGCTGAAGATAGAATCAGGAATCTCAGTTCACTAATGATAGATGCTCAGAATTCACACACATACTGAGAGATTTAAAATATGAAATAGAGATTAAAAGATATGAAAGGAGGGACTTCCCTGGTGGTGCAGTGGTTAAGAATCCGCCTGCCAATGCAGGGGACACGGGTTTGAGCCCTGGTCTGGGAAGATCCCACATGCCACAGAGCAGCTAAGCCCATGTGCCACGACTACTGAGCCTGCACTCTAGAGCCCGAGCCACAACTACTGAAGTCCACGCACCTAGAGCCTGTGTTCTGCAACAAGAGAAGCCACCGCAATGAGAAGGCTGCGTACTACAACGAAGAGTAGCCCCCGCTCATCACAACTAGAGAAAGCCCGTGCGCAGCAATGAAGACCCAACACAGCCAAAAATAAATATAAAAAAATAAATTAAAAAATAAAGATATGAAAGGAATATGAGTAAATCTAATATATGACCTATAAGGGTTTCAAAATGGGAACTAGGTAACATTTCAAAATATAATAGCTGTGAGTTTTCCAGGTTTGGGAAGCCTAGAAAGTATCCAGAAGATTAAAATAAATACACCTCTTGACATATTGTAGAATTGAAGAACTCCAAAGTTAAACTACAGAAGATTTTAAAGCAACCATTGAGAAAAGACAAACCTATAAAAGAATGGTTATCAGACTAATAGTGACTTCACATTAGCAACAATAGATGCCAGACTGCAATGGAACAGTATCTTCAAAGTGCTGAAGATACAACTTTTGTCGTAACTGTTATATCCAGTAAAGAGTGTCTCAAGAACAAAATAATCACATTTTTAGACAGAATGTCTCACTGAGAGATCTTTTAAAAGCTGTGCTCTGAAAAGAGGAACTTGAACCCAGAAGGAAAGCTAAGATGGTTTGATAGGGGACTTCTACCAATTCTTACAAGAATAGATAATTTTATATAAACTGTTTCCAAAAATAAAACAGTTTTTATGAGGCTACTCCAACCTTGATAACAAAACTGGAAAGGATAGCACAAAAAAGGAAAAATACAGGTCTGTCTCACTTAGGAACATACCAGCAATCTGATATATAAAATATTTGTAAACCAAATTAAGGTATCTGTTTTTCCTACACATATACACATATTCAAATGGATGTAACCAGTGACATCTAACAAAATTCATCTAAATGATTATATGATAGAAGCATTCCTTTTAAAGTCAGAAACAAGAAGAGAAGAATGACCACCACGTAAAGGGAATTTGGGGAGCTGCATCTTCTAAAATACATCCAAAGTCGGACTGCTGCTCACTACCATCCTAGTCTGAGCCATCTCATCTCTCTCCTGGACTACTTGGTAACCTCTAGATTTCCTGCTTCTTCCCTGGTCTTCCTGTAGTCTATTCCTAACAGAGCAGGAAGAGTGAACCTATACTAATATGAGGCAAATCATGGTGCTTCTTTATTCCAAACCCTCCAGCAGCTTTCCCACTCAGAGTAAAAGCTGTTATCTGTAAGATCTCAAGGCTCTTCTCACCTCATCTCCCAGTATTCTTCCCTTGCTTACTTCATTCCTGCTAGTCTTCCCCCTGTTAATACTCAAGCATACCAGACAAGCTTCCACTTCAGAGCCTTTCCCTTATTGTTCCTTTTGCTTGAACCACTGCTTCCAAAGAGCTGAAGACTTACTGCTTTGTCTTCTTAGTGTCTTTATTCAAATATTGTTTTCTCAACTTAAAATTTCTCGTATTTAAAGTTACAAAAGATTTCCGTACCTACTCTTTTTGTACTCCATATGTTTCTAATCTGTTTTTCTCCGTAATATTTTCACCTTCTATCATATTACGTATTTCACTTATTTATTTTATTGTCTCTTTTCCCATCTAGAATATGAGTTCCATGGGGACAGAGATTTTTATCTATTTTGTTAAATGCTGTGTCCACCACCACTATATAATTATGCCTAGCACAGAGTAAGTGCTTATTAACAAATATTGGTTGAATGAAAATGCACTTCAAAATAGGGGTTCCTTGGAGAAAACGATGGCAATGAGATTGGGTGAAGGAAAATTTTGTGATAAAGTTTTAATGTTTTATATTTTAAAAATCTGAAAGAATTATAGCAAATTTATTTTTCATTTAGTAAATACTAGTGATCAGTACAACAGTTTCTGTTGTATTATTCCCTGTCTTTTTTTATATTTAAATGACAATTAAATTTTAAATTTTTAAATATAAAGATGTATAGAGACTAAATTGGTGACAATGTCAAGGAAATTTGAGATGTAAATTAAAGGGTAGGATCTTTATCTACTTTACAAATATTATGTAAAATCATAATGTGACAATAGTTAATAGAGTGTAACACTTGGTAATGAAAAAATAGTTCTATCTCTTTGCTTCAGAATAAATTTCAGGGACTTCCCTGGTTGTCCAGCAGTTAAGACTCCACGCTCCCAATGCAGGGTGCCTGGTTTTGATCCCTGGTCAGGGAACTAGATCCCACATGCATGCTGCAACTAAGAGCCTGCATGCTGCAACTAAAGATCCCATGTGCTGCAACTAAGACACAGCACAGCCAAATAAATAAATATTCAAAATAAATTTCAAAGTTAAAGAGTTTGGTTAAAAAAACTAGGAAAAATTACACAGAATATGCAATTTCGGGAATATGTATAAGTCACAAACATGTATTTGACAAGAGCATTTGTGTATGGTTTTATTCAGTTCAAAGTTATTGTTGGCTTGCCACAACTTGATTCCCAGGTCAGTGTTAAATTTAGACTTTATGAAGAAATGAAAATAAATTCAACATTTATTTCTTGAGCAAGAGTGAGTGAATTTTTCTGTGTGTATCATGTAGAAAGAAAGAAGTTTCTATCTTTGGATCATTTCTGATTTACTTGGAAACACTAAGAAATAGGTGGTCAGAAAACTCGTGACCATGCTTTCTCACTAGACCCCTGATATTTCTATCTTCAGTCTTTCTCTCCTATATTCTTCCTCTTTCTCCTCTTTCAGCTTATAAAATTATGTATCCAAAATAAGCCCAACTCAGATGTCATCTGCTCCATGAAACATTTTTTTACTCCCACAGCCAAAATTATCTACCCCACCTTTGTAACCTTATAGGTCATATTAAATCATTCTAAATACTTAGTATGTAATCGTTTGTATTAAAATTAATTGAAAATGTAGATGATTATTCTAATCGAGAATATGTCTAGTAGATTGTAATGCTTCTATGTCTTATTCGTTTTCATGCCTCATGATTTGTGTCTTCACTAAACACATTTGTATTTTGATTGCATTTGTGACCAGGTATTTTAATTGTTACAAACTAAAAAGGGACAAATACAAATATGTAAATCATGTGTCCCCTCCAAATAAAGTCCAAATGATGTCACCTCACAAAGGTTTTAGGCACATAATTTTTAAAAATGTCATTAGTATGTAAACATCACTACGTATATAATTTAAGTGAATATCGGGAGTTTGATAAGACTTTCTTTTAAAAGAATTAGTATATTACTCAAGGTTGGGAAATACTGATACAGATTGCAGAGTAATATTGAGGTCAGAGGCAGAAATCATCATTAGAGCACTAAAAAACGCCATTTTGGATTATGACTGCATCTTGATTCTGTATCATAATAATGATTTTTAATTCATTATGACAGTTAACCATTTGTCAGGTAATGTAGAAGTAACTTTGTCTAGATCTTGAATCAGTATGTGTACTTACTTATTGGTTGTTAAATATCCTAATTTAAAATTAGATAAATTAAGGAGTGGTTTTTTAATATTTTACTGAATGATAGATTTAGTACTTTATTCCTTTGCCAATAACCCTTGTATCTTCATATGGTCCTGATATGCAGCATATCAGTTTATATTCTGTACAATTATTGTGTAAAATGTTTGATATATTTATATTAAGATTTTGTTTTCAAGTGGCATGACATTTCAATGATTTTTTGAACATAGATGCTTCTATTAGCCCATTTATGATTTTGTTTATAATTTCTTTTTTACTTAAATTTTTATATATTACCAGTAGGTCAAAATGTCATTTCACATCTTTTTTATCCCTTGTTTTACTTAAAAGTAAGGTTTAGTCAAAATAGGAATTAAAAACACTTGTTTCTTTAGTTGTTTCCTAGTCATGTAGCACTCTGGCTGTTATTTTTTCTCTACTCAACTGTTTCTTTAGATATTTCTAAAAATCTGAAAAATCTCATATATTTTTTTATTTTAAAAAATTAATAAGAAGTCATCACAAATATCATATTGTACTTTATTTAGAATTTTAGAAGTATACTTTTATTCAGCCAGCAGATACATAGTGAAAGCCATTTGGCTAATGAAGAAAATAATTTTAAATATAGTTTGATCTTAATTGTATAAGAAATAAGTATTTTTCTAATTTATATGGTAGTATTTAGATTAATAAAAGTCAAACTGAAAATTGCAATTGAATTTGCCAGAGTATTATAAACAATATTATTTTGTTCATATTCAACATTACTTCTAACTTACTATTCTTATTGCAAAGGATACTCTGTCTTTTAGAGAATACAATGGTATTATTTACATTAATTCATGTGGGTTGGTGAAAAAAATGCTATAACTCCTTTACTTAATGGGATTCTTCCCCTGTGGCAGTGCAAACGGCTAGAGCAGGAGCTTCATCATCTGAAAGAGCAGAACCAGACTTCAGCAAACAACATGAGACATCTGACTGCTGAAAACAATCAAGAACGTGCTCTGAAGGTAAATCTCCATTCCTTCTTGCAGGCAAATTAAGGTTGTAAGCCCTGGTGCCAGCTTTCTGTGCTGCATATATCAGTTGTGTACATTTCAGCAGAAGTGAGCTGTGGTGTTTGCCAACAACCCGTTCTTTAAACACAGATACAGCACCCTTCTGTTATGGTATTATTTTATCTCGTGTATGTGTACATGAAAACAACATATTTTCTGAATTTCAAGTGGTGGTATAATAATAACTTTAGGTTTATGTTCATTCTGTTTCTGATTTCAAAATATGTTGTTACCTTTTGTAGTTAATAAAAAGTGGCCACCCTGAAAGAAAAAAAAATTAAATAATGGGCTTTTTCTTTGCATCAATATTTATTACAATAATTTTCTTAATGACTTGTAATATTAGTAACGCACAGAACTGACACTCCTTGAAAGGTATGTGAATATGTTTGGGAATTGAAAGAGTACTTAAAATGTTACTTACATCAAAAAAAGAGGAAGAAAATATATTATACTAGAACTTGTAACAAGTAAAGAGTACATATCATGACAAAAGTTCTGTTTCATTTTAATATAGATCCTGTAATTAGGCAAAAGGACATTATTTCAATTCTACTAATTATCTTTTCTTCTTAAGATACTTTTCATTCTCTTTTTTTGCCTTTGCCCCAGTTCCTAGCATAGTGCCTGTGACATAGTAGGGGTCCCTGCCCTCAAGGTGCTTATGCTCTCATTAATGGGTTAAAAATCAAACATAACATATCCACAGGAAACATAAAAGATTCATCATTGTTGTTATTGTACAGTTAAAAAAAGATGTGCTGTCAAGAGGATTGTATTGTACTTTGTTGTCTTAAATTCATTTTTTGCTGCAGATGATGAAAAAAATATGTCATTAGCAGGGTAAGTCATTAAGCCAGAATCATCTACCAATGTTGAGAAAAATGGTGACATTTTGATGTGGAAATAATTTAACCTGTTTATAAAGTATGAGATATGGTTGAAGTCAGATTTTTTTACAAAATGTATTTAGCTTCATTTTGAAATTCTCAGTGATGGGTGTGTAATAACTTTGCTATTATTCTTTAATGCACTTTCTCTTTATTTCTCTTGAATTTATATATAGGCCAGAACAATAAATGGGAAAAAAAGAATTGCTGTGATTATTTTTCAGTTACCCTGAGGAATTTACTATTGTATGAGTAAAATTAAGTATATAATTATTTAGATGTATATTTGCAAATCAAAGGTAACATAATCTTTTAAAGACAGCTTCCATTATGAGTGCTAATTTATTACCAGCATTAGGGGACAGATATCATGTGCTCTATATGTTATGGCTATTACTATTTAAAATAGAACCTAAAATAAAAATTCTAGGTTAAGTTACGTAATAATTGCATAGTCTTTATTCTGGCATTTTTGGTTGTGTATTTATGTTAAATTGAATTAAGTGGCAGCTGCTATTTATGAAGAGAAAAAGATGCATATTTCTAAGAGATTGTTAAAATTAGAAGGCAAACTGTAGACCAAAAGAAACCTGGAAGTTAACATAAGTAGTACTATTATTAGTATCAGTAATAAAAGTAATATAAATAAATAAATTTGAATAGGATGAGAGCTGAAAATTTTACGTTTTATTTCATTGTATTATGCTATAATTCCTAAAGGAAACAGTCCTAGATATAGGTTTGGAAAACAATTTGGGCTTCCCTGGTGGCGCAGTGGTTGGGAGTCCGCCTGCCGACGCAGGGGACACGGGTTCGTGCCCCAGTCCCGGAGGATCCCACATGCCACGGAGCGGCTGGGCCCGTGAGCCGTGGCCGCTGGGCCTGCGCGTCCGGAGCCTGTGCTCCACAGCGGGAGAGGCCACAGTGGTGAGAGACCCACGTACCGCAAAAAAAAAAAAAAAAATCTAAGCTAATGGTCATACATTGCATAGAACTTTCCAAAGTGATGACTATTGCAAATACATGATTATCATACGTGGATATACTTTTTAGTAATCTAGTGCTATTTGAATAATAATGTCTTTGTTTATTCTAATAACCAGGAAATTCTTTCTAAATTAATTTTTATGAAAGAGCATAAAATTAGACTTTTGATGATCACTTATATGCATTATTTTTGAAGTAGCATGGAATATATACTAGATAAATCTGCTAGCATGACACTTTCCCTACTTTTATAATATTTGCAATTTTCTCTAATAATAAGTAGAACACAGTGGTACATATAGGATGAGGGGCTGAATTTATACTGATACTAATCTATACCCTGAGAGTTACTTAAATTAAAAGACAGATTATTTTCTCTTTTAAAATAAATTTTATCCACTTATATTAAGAAATTTGTTTCTTGGTGAACACAATTTTGAACATTTAATGATTTTAAAGTAAATTTAGATTAGCCATAAATATGTAGGCATTAGATTTAATAAGAAATGTCATATAAAGTGCCTTTCTTTCCTCTTTTATTTTATTTATTTATCTTCCTTATCACACATCTTTAACCTCCTACAATTGGCCTTCAACACTGTAATTCCATTGAAAGACATTCTTTCTTAAATTATAGGTGACCTCTGGTGGTTAAACCTGTAAAACTTATCATTTCATATCCTTCTCAATAACCCAGTCAGCCTAAGAGGAACACATTTCAATCTTTTTGGCCCCTGCCTTCATGAAATTCTTTCTTGTAGTTCTTTATTTCTATATCCTCATCATTTTTCTTTTCTTTGATCGTTATTCTTTAGCTGGTGCCTCGTTTTCTACCAATTCCTAAGGTATAAATGTTCCCCTGGGTTATGTGATTATTCCCTTAATTTTTCTTTCTGAAAAAAACCCCAAACTTTATTATTTTAGAGCAGTTTTAGCTTCACGGCAAAATCGAGCAAACTACAGAGCTCCCTCATATTCCATGCCCTTTAGCATCCAGTGCAAGAGTTGTACATTTGTTACAATACATGAACCTACATCAGTGTAACCCAAAGTCCATAGTTTACATTAGGGTTCACTCTTAGTGTTGTACATTCTGTGGGTTTTGAGAAATATAAATGACAAGTATGTACCATTATAGTATCATACAGAAGAGCTTCACTCTAAAAATCCTTTGTGTTCCACCTATTTATCCCTCCTTCCTCCCAACATGTACCAGCCATTGATCTTTTTACTGTGTTCATAGTTTTGTCTTTTCCAGAATGTCATGTAGTAGTTATTTTCAGATTGGTTTCTTTCACTTAGTGATATGCATTTAAAGTTCATCCATATCTTCTGATGGCTTTATACTTCATTCTTTTTAGTATTGTCTGAATGTACCACAGTTTATTTATTCACCCCCCTAATGAAGGACCTCTTGGTTGCCTCCAAATTTTGGCAATTATGAATAAAGCTGCTGTAAGCATCCACATGCAGGTTTTTCTGTGGGCATAAGTTTTTCAACTCATTGGGGTAAATACCAAGAACTATGATTGCTGAGTCGTATGGTAAGAGTATGTTTAGTTTGGTAAGGAACCACCAAACTGTCTTCCAAAACGGCTATGCCATTTTGCATTCCCACCAGTAATGAATAACAAGTTTCTGTTACTCCGTATTCTTGCCAGCATTTGGTGTTTTGTTTATTGCAGGGTTGTCTCTTCTAATTTCATCCGTTCCTATGACATCATCTATCATTTATATCCTAACAGATGCTTTGTCTGCCCTTCCACTTGGATATCTTAGTGACTCCTTAACCTCAATAAACTTAAAACCAAATCCCTAATTCGACTTCCTAAGCCCTCTCTTCAACCTAGGAGGAAGTCAGGACCTGAGCCAAACAATATTGACTGTATAACTTAACATTTATTCTTAGTTATAGTCTCCTTTGTTTGCCTTTACAGCTTTATAGAAGCTGGAAAAGTTAAACACTTTCTGAGCCTTTCTTTTTGCCAATGAGACATAAGAGGAATTCTGCAGCAGGGGTGGGAGAAGAAGGAAGAGTGTCTCTGGATAAGTTTTTGTTTTCCTGACGTGACAGGTGCAGCAGGCACTGTTTCTTTCCTTCTTATTACCTTGAACACTTACTTGCTGCCTGGAACAGCAGCAGCAATTTTATAGCTATGAAGGAAACACCAAGAGAAGCTGGCCTTTAACATCATTGAGCCCTTTAGCCAGTGAGCCACTTTGAGAACTTTAAGCAACTATACCCTGACTTATTTTTCTGGTGACATAATGCCCTATATTTTAAATTATTCTTAGCAGTTTTCTATTTACTTCCAAATTGATCAGTTAACATCTATTAATTAATGGCACTACCATACTCCTAGACATGTAGGCTAATATCATTGACATAATCTTCATATCCTTTCAAACTTTCACCTACTACAAAGTGATAGAGCATCCAGTCCTGTCAATTCTGCAACAGTGATTTGTCTCCTTTGTATTATCATACCTCTACCCTATGTCAAGTTCATGATCTAGATGGTAATAGTACCCTCCTAAATAACAGTTTTGTCCTCAGTTTCTCACCTTTGTAATCAGTTGTCACACTTCCATTAGCTGTCATTCTAAAACACAGGTGACACTTTTCTACCCCAAAACCTTTACTAAGTCTAACATTTTCAGCAGTGTAAGAAAACAGATATCGTGACTTTCCTGATAAGAACAATAAAAAAGGAGGCTATTATTTTAAGAATATTTTACAACATTATTGAGAAGATAAGGAATCTGAAAAGGCCACTAAAATAAAGTGGAAATAGAAAAAAAAATAAAAACATGGGAAATAAGTGATTGCCTGAAGCCATCTTGCATCTTATATTTGTTGTCTCTTTTCCTGATGGGAATAAATGCTCCATGAGGTCAGGGATTTTTGTTTACTTCATATACCTCTGTATCTACTGATGGTATTATAAATACTTGACAGTTAATAAGTCACAAATATGACCAATCATAACAGATGCCAAATGTTAACAATTTGTATAGCTATACCTTTGTGTACCAGCTGAAACTAGCTATAGATGTATCTCCTGAAAATACCTA